GGGAGACTGCAGGATCTCCTGGTATAGAGCAGGTTGAACATCCTAGCTCGGTAGTGCCTGAGATACAGCCAGCACTGCCTTTGGGTGTGTGTGGGAGTGCAACCTGGAAAAACAGGACCGTGAGCACTAGGCCCTTTCGCGAGTCTGTTGGTGTGCAGAGCTCACTATTGAAATAGTGCTCCTTCGTGGGCTTTTTGAAAAGCCCTGGGTGCCTCCAGGACAATTCTGCAAAGAAGCCGCAGAGCTGCATTCCTATGCTTGCCAAAGTCTGGAAATTACTTGCATGCCAGTATTCTGGAAGTAGGTATCTGACGTTATTCTTAAAACCTGGAATTACCAGTTTTTGAAAACACTATGACCTTTAGTTGTGGCTTTTGGAAGGAGCGCTGTATGCGTATCACCTTGGGCTCATTCACAGCAGGCAGGTTTGTTCAGCGTGGTGTGTAAATGCAGCCCAGCAGTTCAACGCATCCTTCTGCCCCGGTCTGTGCCCTCACCTCTCCCGAGCCAGGCTGGGACCTGCCCTGGGGTGTAGTTCAGCAGCAGAGCTCATCTCAGCCCTGTTCCAGTCCTGTCCTCTTCCCTGCACAGCCTCACCTTCTCTTTCAGGACAAGGTAATTTTTGTAGTTACTGGCTTACTCTGAGACCATTTTGGCTCCCTGAAGTGGCTCACTGCGTCAGGTGGGTGCCAGTGTGGGTGCCTGTTCGAGGTGGGTTTGTGGCAGGGAAAGGAGCAGTAGGACTGCAGCAGTGTTTGCTTGAAGTAGTGTGAAGCAGAATGGAAACCTGTTCCTAAGCTTTAGCGGTTGATGAGATCTTGATCCTTTCTAGAAAGCAGGGGCACGCTGGCCTGGGCTGCCTCTGCTTGCAGAGCTGCTCGTTGACTAGAACAGAAACCCTGAAAGTGGCTTTTTTAAACTCTCATTCTTCCCCCACCCTTGCAAGCGCACTAAACCCCATTAAGATATAATTGTATTACTCTTGACCCTTCTTTGACAATAATGAGCACCATCATGACCAGTGTAATAACCTGAAGGGTTCACAGTTAACCTGCTGGGCTGTGGGCATGGTTTAAGGTTGGGGCTTCGTCTGCCTGAGCATTAGATTGTGCTGGGAGGGTGTTCCTGCTCTCTGCAGCAGCTCCGCTTGATGCTCTGTTTTCAGTGGCACCTGGTTCATCTCAGCTGTGACATCCAACTTTGTCCCATGTTTCCACTTGAAGGGCTTTGCCAACAGTGCCAGCTGACGTAGCCAGCTCCCCTCGCCATTGCCGGTTCCGCTCGCAGCAGTATCTGTGGTAGCACGGTGAACCAGATGGGGATCTCAGCCCACCCTGCAAAAATGGATTTCTCTCCCTCCAGCCAAATCACTTCTTCCCCATCTGGTTAATCGCTCAGCCGTGGGGAAAGCTGTGCCAGTATAGAGGGGGTGTGATGTGAAGATGGGAATGAGTTCCTAGAGGGGTGTGGGAGGATGAACATTGGTTTTTAAGCAGCTTTTCTGCTGCTTATGAAACCACAGGCTGGGCACCGCAACTCCTTGTGCGGTGGTGTCTTTCTATATATTCCAGCACTTCAGATTCAGTGACGCTTGCTCTTTTCCACTGTGTGGTCTGTGCTGCTTTGTCCTTGAAATTCCTGCGATGAGTGCCTGTGCTGCTGCATGTCCCATGCATGGTAGGTCTGTGGTGCGGAGAACCTGTTCCATATCAGCTGGGTCATCCCAGTTGTCTGAAACCAGTGCTAGGTTGGCCCGCGCTTGTGTCCGTCTTCCAGAGGATGTTATCTTTTTTTTATGAGATGTTGCAGTTATTGCAGGCGTCGTGAGAATCATTGCGTGCTCTCAAAGAGCCAACAATTAAGCACGCTCCTACAATATCCTCGGACTTGGTTTACTACCTGTTACCGGATTTGAATTCAATGAGGCAAGAGCTTGAGCAGTCCCAGGGACAAGAAAGGTTCCAGAGACTCAAGAGCGTTCTCGTGGCAGGACTGCGGCCCTGGCATCTGCCTTGTATCCCCTAAACCCATGCCATTCACACATGTGTTTGTAAGCTATAGCCTGTTCCTGTATTCTTCACAAGTGGTTAATTGGATAAACCTATTTACTACAATGTACAAATGATACCCCCAGTCATTGATACCAAACAGTGTATTTGATAGCGACCTATACTTTTTAGATAAATGTCAATAAAGTTCATACTAAGTGGTTTTATAAACTTTTGGCCAGTTCATAAGCTATCATATTAACGTGTTTTTGGATGAATTGACTTCATTATCCTACTAATACAATTAATGTATCATCTTATGGTTACCTCGTCCTGCACTTTGTTTCTGCGAGAGGCATAAGAGCATTAAATATATAGAAACAGCTTTTACCTAGAAACCTAATGGGCTTTCCAGAGCCCTGGGTGTGTTTCTCAGAAACCGTAAAGGCTTTCAGTGTATTTTTCTTGGCTTCTTACGTAGGAAGCATTCATGCCGAGCTAATCAGGAGGGAATAAAACAGCGAAATTCCTTGTTGAGGGTAGGATGTTACTTGGTGGGGCTGAAGGGCTTTTCACAGGTTGCTCTGGGCCAGGGCACAAGCCAGTGCAAAGCTGGACCAGCAAAAAAAAAAAAGGGGGAGAGATTGGGAAAGAAGGATAGTTGGTAATTTCACTGGACTCGGTGCTAAGTGTCAGAGGTAGGGTGAGGAAGAGGAGGTGGCCATCCTCCGCTCTCCTGCAGTCGGCTCACTGGGGGTCTTGAGCTGCAGGCTGGCATGCCTTCTGCGGGAGCTTCATCAGCACCTTCAAGCTTTTTGATTTAAAACCATTATAAATGTTATATGTGTGCTAGCATGGATCAGCCTCTTCCTATTCTTTTGTTTTTTTCAAGCTTTCAGCTTTTTTTTTTTTTTCCAGTTTTCTTGCTCTCCAGCAGTGTGGGCACTTGGAGCGTGGGCGTAAGTGAAAGCTGAATGCAGGTTAGGTGACTGTTCCTGCTTTGCGCCTTGCAAAGTTGTACTTCAGCGTATGACAGCGTGTGGGCTTTTCAGGGCAAAGATATGTTTTCAGTAGCGTAGCAAATACTTAATCTATTGTAGCATGTCTGTGGTGTGACAAAGCCGAGGTGATGTCTTGGGCTCAGCCGGCCGTGAAGGTGCTGTTGACTGAAGCCAGGTGATGCTGAGCCCTGACTTCCTACGCCCTCTCAGGCTGAGCTGCTCGAGTGCCCCGGAGATTTTATTCTTCGATGGCAAACAAGCAGCCGTGTCTGTGCTGTCTCTGCGTGTTTTACTGTCAGCGTCCGTATAAAACGGTTAGTTGTTGGTATGTGTTGTAAACATCATTGGTTACCAAAATTAGTGCCTTGCCTCCTGCTTCTTAAAAATAATGGGACGTTGGGCTCGTCTGGCAGCTCGGGGACATCTGGTGCTGTCAGAGCAATCTGTCTGCTGAGATGCTATGCAGGCAATGCCCTGTCCAGAGCAAGATTTAAAAATATCAGCTAATAAGCTTTTAAAACCACTTCAACAGTAGGTGCTTAGGAAAAGGGATGGAAGGAGACTTTGGAAATGTGTTTATCTTCATAACTTTTTTTAAAAATACAAAGCCTCAAACGTGTGTTTAGTCTAATCTTGAATTGTGAGGGCAACGCAAAGCAGGAAGAGCTGGAATCTATTAAGTCTGAAGTGATATGAACTGCTTTTAAGGACCTGTAAATACTTTAAATCTATTTTTTCCTGAAATTATGGTTCTGGTTATAACTTTGTGCTGTAAAGCATAACAAAGTTAATGTAGTGATCTGTTGTAGTTCATTATTTGTATTTTTTTAAAACTACTGGTTTCAGAAGCAGAGCTATTTTAGTAGTTTCACTAAACTTTTCCCATAACCATATTTGCTGTTCCATTGGGATGTCGATATAAGACTGTAACGGGAAGGAACAGCTCAGTGACAGCTTTTAACAGATCTCTTTGTGCAAATCTGCTTTCCCTTCCTATGTAAATGTTAAGGGGAAGTGTAGTAGATATGTAAGCTGTTAAATGTGAACCAACTGGATTTTCTGGCTTTATAAGGCTTATATCCACTATTTTACCTTTGTACTTGCAAAGGTGAATTGGATGAATGGGTAGGTTGAATGAGTTGAGTTAGGACCTGGCTCCTGGTTTGACAAAGCATTTGGGGTTGGTACTCATGGTGGAGCTGAGAAAACCAGCAGCTTTCTGGTGCTGTTGAAGTCGAGGTGTTCCCTTCTGCTCCCCGAAGACTTGGGCTGTGTCTCAGAGCCCGTCAGAGAGCATGGGATAGCCAGCCCTGGAGGGAGGCAGTGGAAATCGGGAAGGGATTAGGATAGGACAGGAGGAAATGGCGTCAAGTTGCACCAGGGAATGTTTAGGTTAGACATTAGGAAAAACTACAGTGAAAAGGTTGTCAAAGAGTGGCACAGGCTGCCCAGGGAAGTGGTTGAATTGCCATCCATGGATGTATTTGAAAGCCGTCTAGATATGGTGCTCAGGGACATGGTTTAGAAGTGGGCCTGGAAGAGTTAGATAATGGTTGGACTTGATCATCTTAAAGGTCTTTTCCAGCCATAACGATTCTGTGATTCTGAGGGTTTCTTTGCTTAGCCTCCAGCTCTGTGGGTAAAGTGCCCCCGTTACCTGTGAGGTCCTTTTTAATTGCTTGGGAACTTAATGAGTAGAGCAAATGTTGCCTATCTTGTTATTGCCCCAATAAAATATTGTGGCTTTTGGATAGGTTTTGGTGTGGTTTTGTTTGGTTTTGGTTTTATTTTCTAACCAAAACATACAGGTTATGTCTACGTATTGTCATAACAAGCAATTTTTTGAACTATCACCAGTTGGACCAAAACTGATATTTCTGGAGACAGCATAACCTTAACTTAAACACACAACATGTCCATTTGGTGTAATAGCTTCCATTTTACTTTATTTTAAAATATTCCAACAGCATTAATAATTAAAAAAAAATATGTGTATTCATGTAGCTCTTTTCTTCTCCTAGAAATGACTGCTGTTACTGCAGGCAACGTTAACTTCAAATGGGACCCCAAAAGCTTGGAGATAAGAACACTGGCGGTTGAAAGACTACTTGAGCCTCTTGTTACACAGGTAGGAGAAAAAAACGGGGGGAGGAGGGAGGGCAAAAAATATCTTCACAAGGATGATTACATGTTTTGATGTATTATTTCAATTAAATAACTTTCAAAGCTTAAACTCCAGAAGTAAAAACACTACAAAACTAATGATAGAAAAAAGTGGGCAAGTGATTTCTTTCTTCAGTTTTATTCTAACAGAGTTATTGGGCATGAGTCTAGAAAGACTCTGCTTCTTCAGTATCTGATAAGACGCGTTTCAGTTAGAAGTGCAGAAATGCATTTTAGTAACTAATGTTCCATTGCTGCTGTGCTGTTTCTCACCTGTATTTTGGGTGGTATGCTGCTTATTTGTTGAGTCCTTAAAAAGCTGTACTATGTGTTATTTAGAAACTGCTATTTGGGAATGAAAAAAGTGTCTTGCAACAAAGCCATTAGCGCTTGCCAGAAGTAGGATCTCATAAGTTTGTTTTTCCTTTGAGATGACCTGTGTTTAGAGTTCCCTTTGGAAGGAGGTTCAGGTAAACAGTGAAATGTATGGTGGGGGATATTTGGAACCAGTCTAGAACAGCCTTGCGTAGTAAATAGATTACTGACCCCGCCTAACTGAGTTCCACCCGAGAGGTATGCTTTTACGGCATTTGTTATTGTTTCAGTATATCTTGTACAAGATATGTGTGCTTTCTTTTAATTTCTGCCTGTGCTTTCTGCTGGGTATGTGAATAAAAGCTTATTTCTGCCTGGTATATATAGCCCAGTGTAATGCGCTGAAGAATACAGGAAAGCTAGAGTACGTCTCGTCAGTGTAAGCCATGCGTATTGGGCGTTTTGAAGATTCTTGGAAAAGACTTTCTCAGAGGTCTGGAAGAGAAGGTGCACTGGAGGCAGTTAACTGATCTTCTTTAGCATTGTTTTTCTGACATACGAAATTTTAAAAATGACGGTATGAACTGGACACAACTGCTGTTAAGCACAAACTGCAGTGATCAAGTTCTATTGCCAATATTAACATCCCTTCAATCGCCAAGCTGCTGTCCATACCTTTGAAACACCCTGCCGTTTGTTCCCTCCAGATACTCAGGTGGGAAGTTGGATGATCTCCTATATGGCTTTTGAGTCGGAGTTACTGATGGAGTCTTTCCTTAGGAGAAATTGTCCTAATTTGGCAAGGCTAACTGAGCAGGCTTGTTTATAGGACCTCCTTGTCCAAGTTCAGCATCTGTAACTTATTCTGCAAGTAGCACAACAGGCTGTATCGGCAATCCCAAATTTTGTGAATGATGTGACTGGCAAAATACAGAGAGGAAAGTAGAGTAAGTTGCCGTGTTGCAACTTGTTCTTTATTCGTAGTACACAATGAACTGAGACGACAAATGCTCCCCATTAACTGATAGCGATATTCCCAGCTGATGGCTTTCCCTCTCTGGATCAACCCACTGAGAAGATGGATTCAGCTCTGAGGACCTTTATGTCAGCAGTCCTTGGGCTTTCCAGAGTAGTAATATTTTTAGTGTTGTAATTTAATGTCCCTGTGAAGTAGCTTTGTAGGTAATGCATTTTCTTAGACTTAACAAAAAGGAGAGGGGGTGGGTGAACGGCAAATGAAAAAGCGTGCATGGATCGTGTGACATGTTTGATTGAAGGGGATGGATCCTGACCCTGAGTACCTGGTGGTCATCTGGCCGCTGATGACCAGTTCCTGGCAGGGTTTCAGTCTGAAACACAAAGCTTGGAAATATTTGTTGATTGCAGGAGGATTGTGAGAGTTCAGTTTTGGTTGTTTTAGGGAAATAATGAGCTCTAGGAAGTCTTGCTCTGCATTTGGTCCATTGGCTGCAGTACTGTTTTGGACTGAAAAGATACTGTGTTGCTAGATTTCTGTAGATAATGGCTTCAGCCTTGCTGGCGGTCTTTTATGCCTGGAGAACTATCCCAAACTAATTATCCCCAACTTGGTTTCTTTTTATGTTGTGCCAAATAGCTCTGGCCTGTTACTGAGATTGCGGTTTATCAAAAATACAAATAGATCTCAATTCTTAAAATCAGATTTTCAGGTCTGCTGCTGATAAGAAAAATCTCTAAGTGGTTTAGCTGAATTTGTAATGCTCATCAAGAAGCATGGTAATGTTTAAAGAGACGTGAAAAACACTTGTTTGTAAGTTTAACCTTTGGAGCTGGCAGTAGTGCAGGTATTAGCAATATGCTGTCTAGAAAAAAAATACGTGTGGCCTGGCTGTCAAATTGAGAAACTTCTAATTTTTTTCATGGGGTTTTTTGTGTTTTTTCTTTTTTTTCTTCCATCTATGTCTTTAGGTAACAACACTGGTTAACACTAGCAACAAGGGCCCCTCTAATAAGAAGCGAGGGCGTTCTAAAAAGGCCCATGTTTTGGCTGCTTCAGTTGAACAAGCAACAGAGAATTTCCTGGAGAAAGGAGACAAAATTGCAAAAGAGAGCCAGTTCCTTAAAGAGGAGCTGGTAGCGGCTGTGGAAGATGTTCGCAAGCAAGGTAAGAGCTATGTAGCTGATAGCTTGTAAAACTGTGTTTTTTCAGGGTAAGGAGAACTGTTCCTGCTTCCCTTTTGCTGTTATTTCTAATGATTCTGCGCCTCTCCACTTGCATAGATTCTTGGCTTGTCTTGCTGGCTTCCTTGAGGAATAATATGAACTGGGCAGATTTGGAAATTGCATGTCCCAAGTAGCGACTGGGAAGAGAAGAAGAAGGGCTGATTCTTTGAAGATCATTTAAAACTCAGTTTAGGCTAAAAAGTAAACCCCCCTCCCACTCCCTCCCTGCCTATAAATGTTGTGGACCTGTGTCTCAAATCTGTCAATAACTTCTCCAATATTTGAATGTATACAAAACAGCATTGTAGGAGGAAGAGCTGAGCGTTGACTTGAGAGAGAGAGATGGGTATTTCAAATATGCAAAATGTAAACAGCAACAAACAGAATGCGAGGACCTTGATTAAATATTCCAGGCTTCCTCCTCCACATCTAGTGTTGATTTTTATCATTTTCTTTTTTACTTTCTTGGAGAAGACCTGCAAGAAAAGTCTATGGAGCTGGCTTACTCTAAAATATGCACTAGTAAATATTGTTGCTCATAAATCATTTATCATTCTTCCAGTCATGAGCCTTTTCTATGCTTCAGTGAAACCCAGTCAACTGGTATTAATGGTGGCGGCTGCTGCTGCAAAAAAAGGAAAACTCATTAGCATTAATTACTTGTTTGTAGCTGAAGTTGCACAGTGATGAAATATTAGTTGAAAATGGTTCGAAGTTCTGGACAAGCCTGGTTGACAGACCAAAGAAAGATCAACGTATGAAGGCTGCAGTGTAAGGGGCTAATTGAGTTGGCTTAATTTAACAACAACAAACAACAGCAAAAGACACCCCTTTGTCTTGAAGCCTTTAATTCTTGGTGCTTGCTTGATTGCTGCTCAGAATCGGAAGTCAGAGCTCATCTGTGAGTACCTTCAAATGACTCTCAGTGCTATTAGTGAGCGAGGGAGCTCTGCTCAGCCCTCAGGATTGAGAAGTTCCCTTAGCTGAATTTGGAGTTGTATATTACAGTGAGAAGCTGGTAGGAAGGAGAGGCTGACATAAAAACCTTCAGGATGACCCTTTCACTTATTTCTTAGTCCCTGCTTGATTTTTTGAGACTACTTGCCGCCAAACCTTCCCTGCTCTGTTGATCTTTGACAGAGGAGGTGGAGTTCATAGCTGAGACGTGCTGGGGTGAAATAACTTCCCACCTTAATGTCGTCTGACTTCTTCCTCCCTTTTTACTGTTTGCAGCTTGCATGAAATCTGGTGCGAGGAGAGGATGGCCGTGTCTGTTTTCTGATGCTGGGCGGGTGATGATTCGACTGATTTGCCTGAATACGACTGGCTCCCACCGCTGTTGGTGGGGATTCAGTCGCAGCAGGGCTGGGCTGCTGGGGCAGCATGACCAGGGATAAAAGCCTGCGCCTCGTCACGGTACCAGTGTTCAGGCAGGTTTAGCAGAGCAGTTCTTCATAAGGAAATTAAAAAGCAAACAAACCTTGGAGGAAATTAGAAGCAAATGGTGAAAAATGAGATACAACAGAGGGAAAGCTTGCTGCTGCCAATGCCCAGGGGAGCATTGCAGTTCTCAGTAGTGCTAATAACAGCAAGGAGATAACAAACTTTCAACGTACATGTTTATATACAGTCTGTGGACTTCAGAAGTGTTTCCAGTGTTGTGGTAGACCAGTTGAATTCATGAACTGGAGAAATGAGGGAAGTGTAATACAAAGCCTGTGCGTGTGCTTAGCAAAACCTGCAGGTACCGGTGCCTTTATCTGCCTTTGCAATGGGGGACAAGTGTGGAGAGGAGAATCTGGGTGTTTGGGTCAGCAGTAGGGGGATCATGAAGTGGCAGCATCTGTGTCTGATGGCAGCAGTGCGATTATAGATGTATAGCACAATTTATCTTCAGCAGAAGACAGGAAAATAGAATTAATAATGCCTCTATTTAGAGTAGGGAGCAGTTTAGTTACCATAATAAAAAAAGATGAATGAATGTAGACAGAGGTTATGAAGATGATTAGGACAATAGATAACTTGTCTCATCAGAGAAAATTAAAAATTTTTTTTTAGCCTAGCGAGAAGATTGAGAGGGTACATGATTTTAGTGAGCACGCTTGTTCATAAAATCCCATTTGTTGGGGGTAAAAACAAAGAAGTGAAAAGAGCTATTTAGAATGAATGATAGTATGGCTACATACTAAATCAATATAAGTGGATCTTCAAAGTCTTCCTGATTTTTACAGTGGAAGAATAAATTACAACTTGCTTTAAATATTAAACCAGTTCATGAAATATCCTAAAGATTCCTGGCCCTTTAAAGCTTTGGACTCTTCACTTCTTTTACAGTAGTGAAACTTCTTAAAATAAAATTTTGAACAGAATAGTGGCGATCAAGAACCAAAGTGTTTTTCAGAATAGATCCTGCTGTGGTTATAGAAAAGATGTACAACTGGAAAAACGACTGATGTCGATTTCTTCGATTTCGGCAACCTTACAGCAGTTGTTATGTTACTTTCTGCCACTGGAGTCTTGCTGGGTAATAGAAGGGGCAGTGTTGGTCTTGTCCAGCCTTACTCCCCCCGCTGTAAGCTCTTTGTAGGGTTTTACCTTCTGATAGAGCGTTGGAGACTGATTGTACGTTGAAGCGGTCGGCTATTCTGGTGCTGTTGGGAGGTGTTTTGGAACTGAAGCAGTTTCTTACCCAGGTGCTTGGCACTGAGATAGGTTGCAAACTCCGGGTCCAAGAAGGAAAGTTTTTGGGTCAGGCTGTTCTGTTTTCCTGGAGTGCTGATGACCAGAGTTCACTGCCGCTATATATCTGCATGCCAGTGTGGGGATCCAGGGTATTAGCTATGCTCTTACTGTTGTGCTTCTTCCTACGGTAATTTTACATAAAAGACCAGAAATTAAAGCTTAAAATTAAAAAGCTTAAGCCTGTGCCTAGGGTTTGAAGGAAGAGAATGGATGAATGGTCTTATGAATCCTGTGGACTTTGATAATGTTTCATGGTTGCAAATGCGGGGGAGTGAACCTACTGATTCAGCGTGGTGTCTTTCCGCCCTGTGTTTCTGAGTGGAGCTTTCTCCAAAACTGAACAGTGAGGCGAATTATGAAAAGGTAAAAAGTTTTTTCAACTGTACTTCACTCAAGATGCATGGGCTTAGGGATTTCCAAGGAACACGAGGAGGCCAGTTGTGGAATAACTTGAAGTTAAACTCTGAATTCTTCTTGGAAAACTCAACTTTAGAATTCCGTTGTGACCAGTTAGCTTAATTTCTTGGAAGGGTGTGAAGAGTTCTCGGTTGTTTTCCTGCAAGACAAATGTTTTAGGAGTGTACCACTTGTATTAGAAGTAATCTTCCAGCCAAGGACTTGAGATCTTTGAAAAGCCGTAACCTAAGGGAGCTCTGAGACAGCTCTTGGCAAGCTGTAGGAGGAGTGTTGTAGGCAGTATATGGATTCAATTGAAGGCAAGATTAAGGAATTAACAGAAGCTTTTGTTGCCAGAAGTAGCAACTCCCATGTTGATAAGGCAAAAGGAGATATGGGACCTTGTCCTTTAGAGTAGAAAATAAGGGCGGCCTGTTGTGGCACTCACGGCAGACACTGAAGGTGGCATTAGTGGTAGGATGCCACTTTGGTATCCAGAATAGTAGAGTCTTGAAGCTCTGATTTCATGCTCGCCTTCATTTGGTGGGGAGCAGGCAGCCTTGAGGGAACTGCGATAGGGTGTTATGAGCAGGTAGGGGTATGTCTGATGGCACTCCTATTTCCAATACTGCGCCAAAGCTGCCTGGGGACAGGCTTTGAGCTGGAAGGTGCTGAAGGGTACAAGGTGATGTGTGGGCATGAATTCCTAGCTTGGAAAAAAGCATCAGTGCCTGTGTGTGTCCTAGGTCTTGCCTGTCTTCTCCACCGCTTTCCCGTTCTGTCAGTGTTTGTATAAAGAAAGCCCTCTCTGTCACGGTCATCATGTACCGCGCTGCTGAGGAGGATTAATGGTGCTGTCTGAAAGTGCTGTCAGACCCTGTGGGCATGGTGGGAATGAGACTAGAAAATGGTAATTTTTCTTCTGATGGACGAAAATCTTACTATTTCTGAAATGGGCTTTGTTCCATTAGATTTAATTGAATTCTTAGTGCTTTATTGACAAGATCATGGTATGGCTACCATTGCCTCTTCTTTTTTCGACTCTTTTATTATCTTTCCCTTGTAATATCTAGTGAAAATCTAAGGTTATATTGGAAAAACAGATTACTCATATAAGAATTCATACCAGCTGTATAATCTCATAGTCTCATAGTCTGACTCTTCTGCAGTATATTTCTTTTAACTCTTGAAATTCTGCTTTCAAACTTGCTGTGTTACCTCGGGTTCAGATTTGAAAAAGAGAAGATTATGCTGGATGCAATTTGAACTGCTGATGTGCACACATAATGCAGTAACTGCATGCTTAGGCCAGGGCAGGGTTCCCTCTTACCCGTGGAATCTAGCTAAAATAACTACCCCACGTTGCTTTTTCTTTGGAAAAGAAGTCCGAAAGGAAGGAAGGAAGAGCATTTTATTTCAGGACTGGCTTGTAAGGTTGCAATTTAAGAGATGGGTAGAGGGTAATTTGGGGTTTTAACCTTGTTAGCAATTTCTGAGATTCAGATGAAGTGAGTGGCCGCCTCTCTAAGTTGTTTTAAATAGGAAATAAATGAAAACAATGTTCCTTTCATTTTGGGAGTTGAAAATGTGGGAGTTTTACATATAAGTAAATATAGGGGGAAATATTTGTAGTGAATTTTGGTTCTGGCATATATCCTTAAATCCTGACATTGTTAATAGATTTCATACTTGCGGTGGTGACATTAATTTCACTGTTATTAGCCTCTTCCAGAAGGGATAAAGAAAGGGTCACATCAGCCATGTGGGGCTTTTATAATCTCATGGCTGGTTGCAATTTTTCAGCATTGGAGATGCATCATCTTTCACCCATCTGGAAATCTGAAGGCTCTTAACACTTGTTAAAATAATGAGTTGTGTTCCTCAAAAAGTTGGGTAAGGGATAGCTTTAGATTGGTATTTATAGCTGGTCTGTACTTGGACAGAAGCTTTTTTCTTGAAGTAGCATATTTTTTTTTCTTAAAATGTTGCATGCCACTCTTCATCGTATTATTTAAGATGATGGAAGGGTGTTACATAGGAGGGAGCGTTTGAACAAAATTGAGTGTCTTGATGTAGTTGCTTGGACAGGCTGGCAGCTGTGTTTGGGCTGTATTTAGCTATGAAGTTGTAGAGTGCTTGGGTGCTAGAAACTCTTCCAGGGCAAAGTATTAATTGCTTAACGGTAAGTGTGTGGATGGTTAACCCCAAGTTCTCCAGTTGTAGGGTTTTTTGAGTCATTAAAATAGCAGTTAAAAAAAAAAAGTTGTTAAAATAAAACTGAAACACTTCCCATAGTGGGGACACGCTGCACTGATTGCCTAGCTGTGGGAGCAGGCAGCAGTTGGCAGGATGGTGCCACTGCATCAGCTTGAGATTTTGGTGCAAATCTTGCCCAGCCCCACTTGGTAGTGGCCTTGATGGGAGTCACCGTCAGCTTTCACTTGTGAAGCGCTATTTGAGATTTGTGCCTTCTTGTCTGAGATACGCTATTTTTGTTTGGGCATTTGGCCATATGGACCCTTTTTCATCCAGGTTTGGGAAGCCTCTGTCACAGCAGTTAGTTATAATGCAGTTTGCCTGCTTTTTGGTCGTCTCCAGCTGCCCCCAAATCTCTGGCCTTGAGTATCTAGTGTTTTCTAAACCAAATCCTAGCAGTTCACCAAATGTTTCTGAAATGCAAAGAGATCCAAGAAGAATAATGTGGATTCCAAAACTTGCTGTTGTGTAGGAACTGTGGTACTTGAAGCAAAATGCTGCCCCAGAACGGGTGGGGACAAATCCAAAATTTACTCCTCTGACTATACGCAGGCATTACTTTTATGCTTTGCGAATGCCTTCTGGAGGAATTTCTCTAGCTGTGTAAAGTGGCCTTTGCTTTTCATAGTTAACCAATTGCATTGTTACCATCTGAAACCCAAATTCTTTCCTCCTGCACCAGATGCAGACCCACAGGCTATGAAACGCTGAAGCATTTTACTAAGCGGTGCCTTGCTTTGAATGCAAACCAGGGCATACCCAGCCAGGTCATCGCTCCGAGTTGTTTACAGTCCCATGAGCTGTAGCATTTCCTTGTGTGTTTACAGCGCTTTCTGCTGCTTTCTGCTTAACTCCTACACGCACACAAATCAAAGCTTTCGCTTAAGCTTTGAAAGCATTGTAGTTTGTCAAATAACTGCAGTCCTGCATGTAATAGCGAAGGCATGCTGAATTTGCCTCTCCGGAGGATTCTGGCAGGATAAAATACCTGTACAATTGGTAATAAGGACCAAAGCGTTATTTCCCAGCTGCCCCTCTACCCTGATACCTTGTGGTAACCACACTTAGGGATAGCTACGTGCAATCTTAATTGCCTGCTGTATTTAAGCAAATGCATTTTGTTTTCAAGCTTTAGATTGGCTTGTGTGGGAATCCTTCCAGCCCCTTAAGAAGCGCTGTGTGATGTTAAAGTCAGACCATCCTCTCCCCTTGTGCAGGTGACTTGATGAAGAGCGCTTCGGGGGAGTTTGCAGATGACCCCTGCTCCTCTGTGAAACGAGGGAACATGGTCCGAGCGGCGCGCGCTCTCCTCTCCGCCGTTACTCGACTGCTGATTTTGGCTGACATGGCGGATGTCTACAAGCTGCTTGTTCAACTTAAAGTGGTAAGTGTAGTGCTTTGCTGTGATTCGCTTTGCCGTGCCTGGCACGCCAGGCGCACTCTGTCAAGCGGCTTTGTTTCATGCGTGCGTGCTGACCCCGGTGTGCGCTGTCAGCGGCTCGCTTCTGGAGCAGGGCGGGTTTTAGGGCTTTTTCCTCTGAGCAAAACGTGCGCAATGGTTGTTTGTCACTTGTTTTTACGCTCGTTGTCAGTAGCTTTTGACACTGTGTTGCACTTCATTCGGTTTCAATACTAAAAGTTCAGAATAAGCTATGGTCTGCAACTGCAACCAGCTTTTTTCATCTTAACGCAATAATTTGACTTCCTTATAACCAGTACTCACTTGTAGCTACTGGGGATGAGTAGCTTCGGTAGACTAAATAAAATGAATGTGGAACATTTGAGGAAGCCTTTTCTTCCCACGAACAAGAGGGTGGGTGGATGGTTTGGACAGAATCTGAAATGAAATGAGATTTGATACTGGGCCTGCTTTTGTGGCAGGGCTTTGAGGACTCTCCTCGTGCCCTTTGATGGCCACAGCTGCAGCTCTGCTGGGCAGAGCTCTGCCAGGGCAGGACCCCTGAAGGGCCGCGGGCTCCTACTCTTTCAAATGCCTGTACTTGGCTGTCTCTGGTAGCTGGTGACTATGGAGAAGTAGCTAAGCCTTGAGTACTATTAGCCTTTGAAGTATCTCTCTCCGAAAAATAAAAGGGGCAGTGGAAGATCACTTTATCTGTGTGCTGTGAAGTACCTTCTGAATTACTTCCTGAACTGTGGACTGTATTACTTGGAAAAATATGTGAAAATATGTTCTTTTAGGTGGAAGAAGGTATCTTAAAACTAAGAAATGCTGGCACGGAGCAGGATTTGGGTATCCAGTACAAAGCCCTTAAACCAGAAGTGGACAAGCTTAACATAATGGCAGCCAAAAGACAACAGGTATAGTGGTGGCAGCTCTTTCTTCTGTATATTATTTCTTCTTTTTCTTTTTACAAAATAAGAAAATAAGACAGACTTGCTGCTCTTGGACAGTACCTGTTGCTGCTAATGCTTTTTTTTCTTTAAACTTTAAATTTTATTTTTATTGCTGAGTACTCTGTGTTGCACTCCGTTGTGTTTAGGAAATTTGAGCTTGCCTGGTTAGCAGAAAGTCTGCTCAGCTGGAGTGTACTGCTTCTGATGGAATTTGTTTATGTCAATGCTTTAGTACCTCAATGAAACGCTGCTTCCCAAGACTTGCAGTTCCCAGTTTGAAGCAATGCAGGTGCGCGTAAGGGATGAGAATTGAGATGTGACTCGGTGCCTGGTGCACTCGCCACTAGACCACACTGCCTTTGTGGTTCACGCAGACAGACTGAGTGTGTCCAGTTAAACAGGGAGTAAAAGTCAGGGCTGGGCACAGCATTACAACTCTTTCCAAGAATGTGAGTGGCAATGCTGGTTAGTCTTGCACTGAAATGTCCATTTGAGAAGGGATTTAAAATCGCGTTTGTTACGTGTGTGTTCTGGGTTTGGATAGCTTGTGCTTAACCTTAAATTGCATGTAAAATTTGTTTTGTTCAACAGCACTGTTGTGACTCATTCTTGTGTAGGTAAGTTTTCAAAAGAAAGCCGAGGTGTGGGCAGTCCCATTTATCAGAAATAGCATAATTCTTGTAGAACATTTCTTGTTTGTTTTTTCTGCTGATATGTACAAACCAAAACTGCTTATGCACCTCTGACACTGCTTGGTGGTTTTTGTACAGATTCATCTTTGCAAATAAACTGGGTACAGTCTGAAATGGATTGCCAGTTGGTTATGTATCTAAAATCTGATAGCAGTAAATGGGAGTAGGGTTGTGAAGGCAATGCAATAAATGTTCTTAAACTGCTTTGTGATGGATTGTTCCGCACTATGGGAAGTGGTTATACTAAATCTGTAAATCTCTGAGCCTGCTTGGAGTGCCCTCCCTGCTTAGTGTGTATCTTACAGAGGTCGCATATTTACCCATTCATTGTGAAAAATCTGTCAGATTTTTTTCCCCCTTTTCTCAGTAAGGCAGTCCTCTTCATGTTCGTCACCTTTTTGTTAGATTTAAGAGGTAACTTTAAAATTATGATACTACTACTAACTGTGTTCGTTCTTCCTTTTATAAACTTGCTGCTTGTGCTGGATGCAGAAGCTTTACCTAACCATAGTGCATCTATTCCAAAACAGGTGATGGTGCTTTAGAGAATTGCAGTAGTGAGTGTTTGGGAAAAGACGTATGGACTTGCTCGCTAATCTTAAATTAGCGGTAATTACAGTCATTGGATTAATTTCATCTCATTGGAGTTGAACAAGAGGTTGAATGAGATGATATACTTGTTCTGCTAAAATTAAGTACCCAAATCTCTTGAGGATAGTAAACTCCATCTTCTAGGTGTGATTAAAGAAAACGTTCTGGTTGTGAGTCTTGGAGTTTAAATTAAAGATCTTGCTTCTCATGTGCAAGTGCGAGATGAGATTGCAGGAGAAGCCTCTTTCTTGTTCATTTGATAGTTAAAAATTAGCCTGGTTCTTAAGGTACATAAAGATGTAAGGTATTCTGTTTTGAGGATTTTGGTTTCTTTGTGAATTTTTGTTTTGTTTAGATGTAATGCAGGGGTGGGGGAGAAAAGACTTGTGCTTGCGACATCTGTGTCCTTCTGGTTTACAGGTGTTACCGGCTTTCCAAATGCTGGTCATTACTATGGAGATGAGCAAAAATCCAGCCTCAGATTTTTGAATTGTGGAGTTGTGATTTGCCCTACAATACTTCTTTTTTTTTGTCTTTGTGAAGCTGTTGTGTTTTGAAATTAGTTGAGCCCTTAAGAATATGGATTCTCAGTCAGAAAATAGTTAAATTTGAAAATACTAGGCCAAGAACATGCCTGTCTTTTAAGACGCAGGGAGAGTGTATGGATGTTAAATGTGGGGAATGTTCTCAAATGCTTTTTTATTTTTCTTTAATTTTCTTAATAGGAGTTGAAAGATGTGGGTCACCGTGATCAAATGGCGGCAGCCAGAGGAATTCTGCAGAAGAACGTTCCCATTCTTTATACGGCATCCCAGGCCTGTCTGCAGCACCCTGATGTAGCTGCTTACAAAGCCAACAGGGACTTGATCTACAAACAGCTTCAGCAGGCGGTCACGGGCATCTCAAACGCAGCTCAAGCAACTGCATCAGATGATGCTGCCCAGCAGCAGGGTGGAGGTGGAGAGCTGGCGTATGCTCTGAACAACTTTGATGTAAGTTTTGAACCCTTTGTGTTAAAACAAGCAAAAAGAAATAAAACAAAATAACCCATGTGGTAACTCCAACTCTTGTGTTCATTCACCTGATTTACTAGCAACAGCTTGCTTTTATTTATATTGTCTGAAAGATCATTTTCTGCTGAAATACAGCAAGTTCCAGGTAAAGTAGGCTTTTATTTTTTAAAAAGTCTTTTTCCGAACTAGGATTGATGGAATATAGAAAGGTATGTATGCGGCTCTTAATGATTGAAGGCTGTCAAGTTAAACTAGCTCTGAAATAGCAGTTACCCTACTGCTACATTAGATGTAAGCCCCTGGTTTATTTGAAATTGATTATTTCATAATATATTTATGTAGCGTATTCTTGTAGGTGACAGAAATGACTTATTAAAAGTGAATAATGTATTTGGAATTGCCCAAACTACCTATTGAGAGGAACGTGAAGTGAGAAGTTTAATATGATCTTTGGTTGGGAATGAAGTAGTTGCGCACTGATGCGTTGTGCTGATCTTTCATATTCTTTACCTTGCATTCAGTAAGTTACTGAGGATAGCCGTGCATTTTTACTGAGAACACTTCCCTTTTGAAGCCAGTATTCTGTGCCTACCGCTGATTCAGCCTCTGAATATTAAACACCTTGGCACTAACTTGCCTCTAAAACTTTGTTTAATATTGCAAAGCCATCACTCAAAAGGTGTTTAATACATTTGGTTTTGCCAGATATTGCTCACCTTTTTGCTCTTACCAGTCTTGTTCCTCCCATATGTTACTTTGTCTGCCACGTTTCTTTTACCAGGATAAAGTACTAGTTGAGTTCTCCCTGTGCCCAGTATGAAGCCTTTCTATGTGATCTGCTGGGTAACAAGAGGATGTCATGGTTGTCTTGATCTTTGTGACCATAATCTCAGTTTTAAGTCTGCTTTTCTTAAATTCTGTCAGTTGTAAGTTCAGCTATGTAAGTCTTAAGAGTGTGCCTTGGGTTAGCACCCAAGGGATTGCAGGTCTGAGTGGGTATCTGGGAGGGGAAGGCAGGTCCTGTAACGGCACGTGGTGTTAAGGACCGACTTGGGTATGTAGAATCGAAGAAGCGATTCAGTTCAGGTTCATGGATTGGCTAATCTAGCTCAAACCATTTAATGTGATTTCTGATGTATGGCTGTATTTTACTATATGAACTCTCTAATATATATGGCCAGAGACTTTTTTTAGTGTTGCTGTTCACATGGAGCTTTTGAACTTTTGGTTCTGCTTTG